GATATCGAATGTACCGACAAGGTATATATAGTTATAATTATATTTATATATTAAATTAGTTTTTTTTTTCATTAATAATTTTGAGGTGATTTTGTAAGTGCAGAGGGCAAGCTTCTTACGGGCGAGGAGAAGCTTCTTACGGACGAGGAGAAGGAACTTTGGTTCTTTAAGAAAAAACATGCTGAGGACTTTATGGGCATGCATTGTAAGGACTTTAAGAATAAGCAATGTAAGGACGACGACAAGCAATGTAAGGACGAGGAGCAGTTCTGTAAGGACATACATAAGGAACTTAAGGATGAGAACAAGCAACTTAAGGATGAAGACAAGCTTCTTAAGGACGATAATAAGCTAGTTAAGGACGAGGAAAAAACAACTTAATTAAGGATGGGGTAAAAATTAGAAGAATAATAATGTAATCTATTATATTTAATGTAAAATATCATAGGATTTCTATATTAATTTGAAGTCAAGATCGTATTTTGAGATAGTGGCGATTTTTCTTGTCACCCCTATCATGTAAAGACTATATGTCACTTTTGTAATAGTTGAGAGTAAACAAATATTTTATATTTTTTCATATTAAAAATAATATTTTATCATTTTCGTATAGCACTAATAATAATTTAAAAAGTAATGTTTAAAAACTTCAATTATATCTAAACTAATTAAAACATAATTGAAGATATCTTTTAATTAATTTCACAATAAGAAAATGATGAAAATATTATACATGTTTCAAGTGATCAAAATATTATTTATTTAATTAAAATATGATCATATGTTTAAATTAATAATTAATTATAAATGTCTGCAAATTATATTACACTAGTTTAATTTTATTTTCAATGCAAAATGTACTAATATTGTTGATCATGGATCTTAAAAAATGCAATGAAATCCCCCTTCACTCTCTTCTCTAGTCTTACAACAAATTTTGAGGTACTATAATAATAATATATTAATATATTAATATTAAAACACATATATGTTCCATGCACCTCAGATCAACTAAATGATCAAAAGCGTATTTGACACAACCCAAAAATAGTTTTTCTAAAATTTTATTTTATAAATTTCAAAATAGCTATTTTCACATTTTCAAAAATTTTTGTTTCGAAAACGGCGTTTGAATTAAATATTTTAAATCGAGTTTTTAAATACCGAGAACATTTTATTTCGAAAATCTTAAATTTTGGGTACATTTATGTACTAAGTTTTGATCCAAAAAGTCAATCTGAGTGATGGTTCATGATGCAAGGTGAACCATAAGCTTTCCACCAAATTTCTTAATTGCCCTCCACCAATCATTGGCAATCGTCCTAGGGTTTTAAACCCTATAAAATGCCTCACTATTCACATTGTTTCCCTGATCCCTTTTCTTTGCCTCTCCAACCTTGAGCTCTCTGCAAACAAGAAGAAAGCTCAGCAAGAAAACATTGCAGTAAGTTTCCTCCATTCATTTTTCATCCATCTTAAGGTTTCCTCTTCTCTAAGCTTTCGATCTCTTAGGTTTCTTAGTCTTGGCTTGTGTTTGAGATGTTTATGTGGTGAAGGAGGTGGTGTTTGAGTAAAGAGGAGGTAGAGATCCATACAAGAAGAGAAGCTTCAAGAGGTATAACCCCATGAACTCCTTCTTTGATTTTGGCTTTGTGAAGCCTTTGATATTGAGTAGAAATGAGTAAAAATTATGAGATTTTGTTGTGTTTATGATTGGAAGTGATCTAGTATTTGTTCTTGAGTTATTGAGAATGAAATGCCTATCTGGTACACACACAGTGTGCACCAGATCAGACAAGCGGCCCTAGCCGCGGCCCATCAAGAGGGCCGATGGCTAGAGCCGGGGTTACCCGGGCCTAGGGCACGACCCTAGGAGAGGGCCGTTGCCTAGGCCCTGGCAATGTAACGGGACTCATGGGGCGGCTCATGAGGAGTCCCGCCCCAGGTCCCTGAGTATTAATCTGAGAATTTTTGTGCAGTGGCCGGACCCTTGTAGCTCAGCTACGTGTCGTTTCGGGCCAGGTGTCACGGGCCCTTGTGGCTCGGTACCTCGGGATCGTCTCGATGCACGTTTTGGCTTTGACTTCGTTGAATTTGGATAAAAAAAAATGAATATGTTATGATGAATTTATTGAATGATTTGCTACACAGTATATATATATGTTAAGTTTACTGTGTATGAGAAATTCTTGGCTAAGTGATCTGATGTTACTTTTGTATTGAGTAGAGAAGCATGATCATTTGAGAATATGATTTATTATGAAAGCATGACTAAAATGTGATATTTGATCAAAGAGAATTGAAGCATGTTTTGTTGATAGAAATGTATAGAAATTTCCATCTCGCAAACTAAGTATAATATGATATCCTTGAGAATTTCTATGGATTTTTACAAGATTTAGAAGCATGTTATAGAATATTTTGCATCCTATCCTAAAACAACGCAACACCACAACTAACTCTTAGCTTTAACTATAAATACCATTGCCCATATATACACACAATAAACACACCAAATAATAAACAATAAACAATAAACAATAAGCAATAATGGCGGCTGCCCAGAAGTTGGTTGCAGTGTTTCTGGTGTGCATATTTGTCCTCGCCGCCGTGGCTGACGCTGGAGATTACCGGCAATGCTTCTATTCTTGCCTTCCCCGTTGCATAACCAAAGGAAAAAACATCTACGTATGCGAGAGTAGTTGTGACACCAAATGTGCCGCCAAGGCAGTTAAAGGTATATAACCATGCCAAAAAAAGAGAGCATAATTAATGATGTGTTCTCATTTATATATTAAATTAGTTTTTATTCTTTAATAATTTTGAGGTTATTTTGTCATGCAGAAAAGCAGTCCGGCATGGAGCTTCGAAGTGAAAGGGACCAGAACAAGGCATTTAAGGAGGAGAGCAAGTACTGGCGGCGGACCCAGAAAAATAATTGAGTGAGGGCGAAGTTCAAATAATAAAAATTGTCTATAAGTGTATAACAAAATGTCAAGCATCAAGATCTTCTAAATCAGGGACAGATCCATAATTTTTTTTCAATGGGGCGGCGAAACATTAAAACAAAAGAGATGGCTTTAAAAAAATGAAACACTTAAAAAGTTAGCCATAAATATTGTTAGATATGAGCGAAAAATAAAACACATCAAAACTTTAATATTATTAGATATGAGCGAAATATAAAATACATCAAAAATTTATAAAAATATTTATAACAAAATAGGAAACTTAATTAATTTGATAAAATAATTCTAATAGAAAACACATTATAAATTATAAATTACACATCTCATTATTAATATAAAAGTATATATCACTATTAATTTGTTTTTTGAAAGCCTCACCAAGGCATTTAAGGAGGAGAGCAAGCAGTGGCGGACCCAGAAAAGTAGTTGAGTGAGGGCGAGGTTCAAATAATAAAAATTGTCTATATAAGTCTATAACAAAATGTCAAGCATCAAGATCTTCTAAATTAGGGACAGATTCATAAATTTTTTTCAGTGGGGCGGCGAAACATTAAAACAAAAGAGATGGGTTAAAAAAAATGAAACACTTAAAAAGTTAGCCATAAATATTGTTAGATATGAGCGAAAAATAAAACACATCAAAACTTTAATATTATTAGATATGAGCGAAATATAAAATACATCAAAACTTTATAAAAATATTTATAACAAAATAGGAAACATAATAAATTTGATAAAATAATTTTAATAGAAAACACATTATAAATTATACATCTCATTATTAATATAAAAGTATATATCACTATTAATTTGCTTTTTTGAAAGCCTCACTAAGTCAATAGCTATAAAAATTGCATTCACACCAACACGCCATAATGTGGTATTATGACTTCGAACCCTTGACCTTCAATAAGCTAATACACACGCTCAGCCATCTAATCTAACCTATTTCTTATTTACATTTGCTGTTTTGTTTTTATTTATACTAAACCTTGTACTACATATACATATACATGGGGTGGGGGTGGGGTGAGTCGGGACAACTGCCTCCACTGTAGGTCTGCCCCTGAGAGCAAGGCTCTCAAGGACGAAGACAAGGCTCTCAAGGACGGGGGCAATGCGCTCAAGGACGAGGGCAATGCTCTCAAAGACGAGGGCAATGCTCTCAAGGCCAAGGGCAAGGACGAGGACAAGGCTCTCAAGGACGAGGACAAGGCAATACAACTATTGTTACTCTCTTATAGCATTATTATATTATTATTACCGGTAACGTTATTACCGTCACTTAGCATAAAGCTGTAAGACTTACTCCATTCGTAAAATTTTTTGCACATAACACACAGGAGCAGATAATTGACACATAATATAACCCTTCCAAATATTATTATTCTTCTCGTAATTATTTTTCTTATTTGTACATGCATGGTATGAAACCAGTCATGCTAAGTATGCAAACACACCATTATGTAAGGACATTACTCAACACTACATTAGTATGATATATATGCAACACATGATAACATACTATAAATTAATACTCTACTATCAACATATAACACGTATAAAGCAACTATTAGTATGAAACATATTGTTCACTAATATTCATGAGTTTATCCAAAATGAACATTGTATCCACTTTGAAGATTCTATTATTATATTTGAATTTAATTAATTATAATTATTTAAATTCAAATAAAATAATAAAATTTAAATAAATAAATAAATGTATTGAATTGAGGAAGCTGTGGAGCTGCATGCGCTGAAGATGAGAGGAAGCTAAGGTGATCTGATGTGGGAGCTGAGATTATTGAATTGAGTGGAAGAGGATGAAGCTAAGCAGTAATGCAATGAATTAATTTAAGGAAGACCAGGCCAGATCCACATTTAATTAATTAATTTGTGATAAATTCCTATCCGATGAAAAGTAAATTAAAGCATCCATATCCTAAAACAACGCAACACCACAACTAACTAACCCTTAGCTTTAACTATAAATACTACCATTATTGCCCACCTATAATCATCAATCTTAAGGGATTGAAACACTACATCAATAATAAAACATCAAACAATAAACAATGTCGGCTGCCCAGAAGTTGGTTAATGTTGCAGTGTGTCTGGCGTGCATATTTGTCCTCACCGTTGACGCTTCGCTTTCTTCCGTTTACAGTTCATGCTTAACTCCATGCCATCCCGCTTGCAAAGACACAGGAAAATCCGTCTTTGAATGCTGGAGAGAATGTGAAAACGGATGTGTCGACAAGGCGTATAATGGTATATATAGTTATAGTTATATTTATATATTAAATTAGTTTTTTTTTTCCATTAATAATTTTGAGGTTATTTTGTAATTGCAGAGAGCAAGCTTAAGGACGAGGGCAAGCCGTCCAAGCAAGTTATGGACGAGGAGAAGGAACTTTGGGCCTTTAAGAAAAAACATCTTGAGGAATTGATGGACACGCATTGTAAGGATAAGAAGAACAAGCAATGTAAGGATGACGACAAGCAATGTACGGCCGATGACTACTTCTGTAAGGACATGTATGAGCTCCTTAAGGAGGAGAACAGGCCGGATGAGGAAAAAACAACTTAATTAAGGACGGGTTAAAAATCTAGAAGAATAATAAAGCGATCTATTATATTTAATGTGAAACATCATATGAATTCCTATATTTGAAGTCAAGATCATATTTTGAGATAGTGGCGGTTTTTCTTGTCACCCCTATCATGTAAAGACTAGAGGTGTAAATGAGGCGAGCAGTTTGCGAGTCGCTTGTGAGAGGCTCGGTCAAAGCTTGGCTCGAGCTCGGTTAAAATCGAGCTCGAGCGGCTCATTTAGTAATTGAGCTCGAGCCGAGCCTAGATATTCTAGGCTAGTGGCTCGTCAAGCCGCTCGTGAGCCATATTATATATAATATATATAATACATAATATAATATAATAATAATATATAAAAATAACAATTAGAAATTAAAATTTTAAAATCAAAATCCCTAAAAGATTTTTATTATTTATGTATGGATAAAACAAAGTAGTTTGAATTTTAAATCAAAATTATTAAATAGGTCAAATTCAATGTTAAAATCGAGCTCGAACTCGAGCTCAAGATTGAGCTCGAGTTCAAACTCGAACAACCGAGTTGCTCGAGCTGAGCTCGAGCAGCCCAAAAATTATCGAGCTCGAGCTCGAGCTCGAACTTGACCGAGCCTCCATTAACGAACTCGAGCTCAAGCCTACCCAGGTTCGAGCTCGGCTCGGCTCATTTACACCCCTAGTAAAAATTATATATCACTTTTGTAATAGTTGAAAGTAAATAAATATTTTATATTTTTTCATATTAAAAATTATATTTTATCATTTTTGTAGAGCACTAATAATTTATTATTTATTTAATTATAATATAATCCTATGTTTAAATTAATAATTAATTATAAATGTCTGCAAATTATATTACACTAGTTTAATTTTATTTTCACTTCAAAATGTACTATTATTGTTGATCATGGATCTTACAAAATGCAATGAAATCCCCCTTCAGTTTCTTCTCTAGTCTTGTTCCATGCACTTCAACTAAATGATCGAAAGCGTATTTGACACAACTGGGGTTGACTGTTCTAGCTACTTTCACTCTTTGGTGGGGTCTGTTTGTGTCCTGTCTCAATCGGGGGAGGGATCGGCTCGACAGTGACCATTTTCGTGTAGGGAGCAGGGCTCGAGTGGGTAACCTCCTCGGGTTGGACGCCCAAGATGGTGGGAAGGTCGTTACTCTCGATGGATTTCGCTGCATGTTCCATTAGCCAGTGGTAAAGGCACATTTTTCGAAGGCCCAAATGAGGTCCTGCTGGTTTGATTCTTCTCGTACTTTTGGCCTCCTTCTTCGTTCCTGACCACTTCTCGGGTTGACTTGAGCCGGCGTTTGAGGTCATTGATCTCGACCACATGGTCTGCTTTAGGGGTTCGGTCTCCTCCGCGGCCTTGGCTTGACGGTAGAGGGCGATGAGAATGCGAGTTAGCTGCATAAAGGATCAATTAATTTTACGAAGCAAATGATTAAGAAATATAGAATAGTGAGGCGCATATGTGTACCAGATCTTGGGCACCCCATTCGCCCATTGTGCATATCGTCGCCCGGGCGGATCAGGTCGCTAAGCTTCCCAGGAGGGTAGCTGGTTGCTCACTGCTCAGCAGAGCATCCACCCCGGGAGTCCAGGCCAGGGGGCTGTAGCGCTAAGTCAGTTTTAAGGGAGCCACCTTCTTGACGTTAGAGTCAGTAGCTTTTTCCTTACCCATTTTGCTCTGAACCTGGACGACGAGCAAATTGTAACACCCCGTGTTATGATCTTCAAACCCGGATTAATTATGTAATTAATCCCGCCAAGAACAATTAAAAAGGAATTAATTTAGGTAGAATTCCCTTATTTAATTAATTTGGACCATGGCGGACCGTTGACCCTTGTCTATATTAAAGACCTTAAGCCTGTTAGGAATAAAGAAAGTTGTCATTTTACTATTCAGATTCTAATTAGGAATCCTAGACCTATATATCTATTAGGAATAAAGAAAGTAGGTCTTTACTATTCAGATTCTAATTAGGATCCCTAACTCTATAAATAGGGGATTAGAAAGCAATTAGAACCCTTCCCACCCATATCACACGAAAATCCCCCGAGAGACCTAGCTAAGGAATTCCTGGGGAGGAGAATCTTGGGGAAGGACCTTTGGAGTTAAGGAAGATTTAATTAAGGGTAAGAGGTAAACCATGTCTTAATAAAAATTGTCTATAAGTCTATAACAAAATGTCAAGCATCAAGATCTTCTAAATTAGGGACAGATTCATAAATATTTTTCAGTGGGGCGGCTATACATTAAAACAAAAGAGATGGCTTTAAAAAAATGAACCACTTAAAAAGTTAGCCATAAATATTGTTAGATATGAGCGAAAAATAAAACACATCAAAACTTTAATATTATTATATATGAGCGAAATATAAAATACATCAAAACTTTATAAAAATATTTATAACAAAATAGGAAACATAATTAATTTGATAAAATAATTCTAATAGAAAACACATTATAAATTATAAATTACACATCTCATTATTAATATAAAAGTATATATCACTATTAATTTGTTTTTTGAAAGCCTCACCAAGTCAATAGCTATAAAAATTGCTTTCGCACCAACACGCCATAATGTGGATTCAAACCCTTTACCTTCCATAAGCTAATACACACGCTCAACCATCTAAGCTAACCTATTTCTTGTTTACATTTGCTGTTTTGTTTTTATTTATACTAAACCTTGTACTATATATACATATATATATACAAGGGTATATATGGGGTGGGGATGGGGTGAGTGGGGGTAGCTGCCCCCACTGTAGGTCCACCCCTGAGAGCAAGGCTCTCAAGGACGAAGGCAAGGCTCTCAAGGACGAAGGCAAGGCTCTCAAGGACGAGGGCAAGGCTCTCAAGGACGAAGACAAGGCTCTCAAGGACGAAGGCAAGGAGTAGGGCAAGACTTTCAAGGACGAGGGCAATGCGCTCAAGGACGAGGGCAATGCTCTCAAAGACGAAGGCAAGACTCTCAAGGACAAGGGCAAGGCTCTCAAGGACGAAGACAAGGCTCTCAAGGACGAAGACAAGACTCTCAAGGACGAGGGCAAGACTCTCAAGGACGAGGGCAAGGACTAGGGCAAGACTTTCAAGGATGAGGGCAATGCGCTCAAGGACAAGGGCAAGGATGAGTGCAAGGCTCTCAAGGACGAGGACAAGGCTTTCAAGGACGAAGGAAATGCTCTCAAGGACGAGGTAAAAATCTAGAAGAATAATAAAGCAATCTATTATATTTAAGGTGAAACATCTTATGATTTCTATTTTAAGATAGTGGCGATTTTTCAGTCACCCCTATATCGTTCTTCCAAAAGGTTGAACCCCAACCCTAAGGGCCGCTCTATTACAATGTAGTATCTGTTCATATACTTTTCTCAACCTATTGAAACACAAAGAACCAATAACGCTTCCATTGAGGCTCAAACTCATAATCTTCCAAATGGAAGTCCAACCCGTATACCATTAGACCACATAGTCTTGGTTGTCCTTTTTTAATATTAGTTGAATATAAAGCTCATGTTTCACGGTTCTTATTGAATATAAATCAAAATTTTAAAAGTAGAGAATGATTATTTTATTTTTTTCATATTAAAAATAATATTTTATCATTTTCGTATAGCACTAATAATTTAAAAAGTATGTTTAAAAACTTCAATGAAATCTAAACTAATAAAAACATATTTGAAGATATCTTTCAATTAATTTTACAATAAGAAAATTAAAATATTATATATGTTTAAGAAAAGATCACAATATTATTTATTTAATTAATTATAATTATATTTTTAATTAAATTAATTATAAATGTCTGCGAATTACACTGGTTTGATTTTATTTTCACTACAAAATGTATTAATATTGTTGATCATGGATCTTACAAAATGCAATGAAATCCCCTAATTCACTCTCTTCTCTAATCTTACAGCAAATTTTGAAGTATTATAATGATAATATATTAGAATGGGTGAATCGCTCTCATGCTCCAAATGTCATGCAACAACACCTGTCGCTACTGGAAATTATGGAATTTCCGACCACCTGAAAGTGATCTTAAATCAAGTCGAAAGCAAAAAGTGGTCGGAAATAGCTATAAAGGTTTTTCCGGACACCAAAAGTGGTTGGAACAAGGCTTTTGACTTGATTTAATATCATTTTCAGGTGGTCGAAAATTCCATAATTTTCAGCCGTAATTAAGGAGGGGACAAACTTACTGACAGGATAATTGGGCTGGCACCCGACCCGGATCACAAATGGGCATTGACTCAGCATCACATGGGAACCCAACGGGCAGAACTCCAACGGTCAGGAATTCCAACAGGTGCCACTTTACTACCATTGAAGCCAGCATTGAAGTCCCCATTTATGAGAGAGAGTTAAAGGCTAGGCTCTCCATTTATATCCCATGTTGTTACCGTTAGGACTCTAAATATAAATGGGGCTCCCCTCAGCTAGCAATGGACACACTGTACTTTCTATACTGAGACAAAAAGCAATACAACTATTGTTACTCTCTTATAGCATTATTATATTATTATTACCGGTAACGTTATTACCGTCACTTAGCATAAAGCTGTAAGACTTACTCCATTCGTAAAATTTTTTGCACATAACACACAGGAGCAGATAATTGACACATAATATAACCCTTCCAAATATTATTATTCTTCTCGTAATTATTTTTCTTATTTGTACATGCATGGTATGAAACCAGTCATGCTAAGTATGCAAACACACCATTATGTAAGGACATTACTCAACACTACATTAGTATGATATATATGCAACACATGATAACATACTATAAATTAATACTCTACTATCAACATATAACACGTATAAAGCAACTATTAGTATGAAACATATTGTTCACTAATATTCATGAGTTTATCCAAAATGAACATTGTATCCACTTTGAAGATTCTATTATTATATTTGAATTTAATTAATTATAATTATTTAAATTCAAATAAAATAATAAAATTTAAATAAATAAATAAATGTATTGAATTGAGGAAGCTGTGGAGCTGCATGCGCTGAAGATGAGAGGAAGCTAAGGTGATCTGATGTGGGAGCTGAGATTATTGAATTGAGTGGAAGAGGATGAAGCTAAGCAGTAATGCAATGAATTAATTTAAGGAAGACCAGGCCAGATCCACATTTAATTAATTAATTTGTGATAAATTCCTATCCGATGAAAAGTAAATTAAAGCATCCATATCCTAAAACAACGCAACACCACAACTAACTAACCCTTAGCTTTAACTATAAATACTACCATTGCCCATCCATAATCATCAATCTTAAGGGATTGAAACACTACATCAATAATAAAACATCAAACGATAAACAATGTCGGCTGCCCAGAAGTTGGTTAACGTTGCAGTGTGTCTGGTGTGCATATTTGTCCTCACCGTCGACGCTTCGCTTTCTTCGGTTTACAGTCCATGCTTAAGTCCATGCCGACTCGCTTGCAAAGACACAGGAAAATCCGTCTTTGAATGCTGGAGAGAATGTGAAAGCGAATGTACCAGCAAGGCGTATAAAGGTATATATAGTTATAGTTATATTTATGTATTAAATTAGTTTTTTTTTTCCATTAATAATTTTGAGTTTAGTTTGTAATTGCAGAGAGCAAGCTTAAGGACCCGTCCAAGCAACTTACGGACGAGGCGAAGGAACTTTGGGCTGTTCAGAAAAAACAACTTGAGGACTTGATGGACACGCATTGTAAGGATAAGAAGAATAAGAAATGTAAGGGCGACGACTGTACGGGCGATGACTACTTCTGTAAGGCCATGTATGATCTCCTTAAGGAGGAGAACAGGCCTCCTCCTAAGGATGAGGAGGAGGAGAACAAGCCTCTTAAGGATGAGGAAAAAACAACTTCGCTTTCTTCAGTTTACAAGTCATGCTTATATCCATGCCATTCCGCTTGCAAAGACACAGGAAAAACCGTCTTTGTATGCGAAAGAGAATGTGAAGACGAATGTACCGGAAAGGCGTATGGCGGTATATATAGTTATAGTTATATTTATGTATTAAATTTGTTTTTTTTTTCATTAATAATTTTGAGGTTATTTTGTAATTGCAGAGAGCAATCTTAAGAACAAGGGCAGGCCGTCCAAGCAATTTCCGGACGAGGAGAAGGAACTTTTTGCCTTTAAGAAAAAACAACTTGAGGATTTTATGGACATGCATTGTAAGAATAAGCAATGTAAGGACGACGACAAGCAATGTAAGGCCGATGACTGTGGAAGAATGTATGAGCTCCTTAGGAAAGGATGACAATAAGCTAGTTAAGGATGAGGAAAAAACAACTTAATTAAGGACGGGGTAAAAATCCAGAAGAATAATAAAACAATCTATTATATTTAATGTGAAACATCAGGATTTCTATATTTCTATATTTAATTATAATATGATCATATGTTTAAATTAATAATTAATTATAAATGTCTGCAAATTTTATTACACTAGTTTAATTTTATTTCACTTCAAAATGTACTATTATTGTTGATCATGGATCTTACAAAATGCAATGAAATCCCCCTTCACTCTCTTCTCTAGTCTTGTTCCATGCACGTAACTAAATGATCGAAAGCGTATTTGAAACAACTGGGGTCGGCTGTTCTAGCTACTTTCACTCTTTGGTGGGGTATGTTTGTGTCCTATCTCAACCGGGGGAGGGATCGGCTTGACAGCGACCATTTTCGTGTAGGGATAGGGCTCGAGTGGGTAACCTCCTCGGGTAGGACGCCCAAAATGGTCGGAAGGTCGTTACTCTCGATGGATTTTGTTGCATGTTTCTTTAGCCAGTAGTAAAGGCTCATTTTCCGAAGGCCCAAATGAGGTCCTCGCCGGTTTGATTCTTCTCGTATTTTTGGCCTCCTCCTTCGTTGCTGACCACTTCTCGGGTTGACTTGAGTCGGCGTTTGAGGTCATTGATCTCGACCTCCTAGAGCGACGGTAGAGGGCGATGAGAATGCGAGTCAGCTGCATAAATGATCAATTAATTTTACAAAGCGAATGATTAAGAAATATAGAATAGCGTGCACCAGATCTTGGGCGCCCCATTCGCCGATCTGGTCGGCTGTCCAATTGTGCATATCATCGCCCGGGCGGATCAGGTTGCTAAGCTTCCCAGGAGGGCAGCTGGTTGCTCACTGCTCAGCAAAGCATCCACCGCGGGAGTCTAGGCTAGGGGCTGTAGCTCTAAGGGAGCCACCTTCTCAATGTTAGAGTCAGTGGCTTTTTCCTTACCCATTTTACTCTGAACCTGGACGACGAGCAAATTGTAACACCCCGTGTTTTGATCTTCAAACCCAGATTAATTATGTAATTAATCTTATCAAGAACAATTAAAAAGGAATTAATTTAGTTAGAATTCCCTTATTTAATTAATTTGGCCCACGGAGGACCGTTGACCCTTGTCTATATTAAAGACCTTAAGCCTGTTAGGAATAAAGAAAGTGGACATTTTACTATTCAGATTCTAATTAGGAATCCTAGACCTATATATCTGTTAGGAATAAAGAAAGTAGGTCTTTACTATTCAGATTCTAATTAGGATCCCTAACTCTATAAATAGGGGATTAGAAATCAATTAGAATCCTTTCCACCCATATCACACGAAAATCCCTCGAGAGACCTAGCCAAGGAATTCCCCGTCACCAAGCCTAGGGAAGATCAATTCCCCCCTAGGGAAGATCAATTGGAGGAGAATCTTGGGGAAGGACCTTAGGAGTTAAGGAAGATTTAATTAAGGTTAAGAGGTAACCCATGACTTACAAAACTTATTTCCCTTGATATTGTTCATAGATTGGCTCCGTTGAATGATTGAATGTATGATTTTGTATTTGTACTTTGTTAGAACTTGTCTTTAGGAATTTGTGGTATGGATTATTGTTATTTTTGATATTCTTGGTGACCCTGTGTGGTCTTGTATTTAATTATGTTTAGAGCTTGTCCTTATGGTTTATATTGCAAATCTTGTTGTTATGATGTTCCTGGTGTTCTTGGGTGAGTTTATGCATGCTCGGGTGTTGATTCAAGGTTAGGGCTTTGCATATAGATTTCTTGACGATATTGAGGTTATTGATGCTCTTGGACCGTTATGTGTTAAATCTCGAGTCTTGACATGTTTAGGGATTGTGTTTAGGGTATAATTGTGCTGTTTATTGATTTTATTCTTATTGTTCGAGTCCATATTGTTGTTGATATGTATTGGGATGTGTTTGGACTCGATTTTAGGTTTAATTGATGAATTCCCGAAAGGGAAAAATGCTGAGTTACCATCGTATCAGCGGGGTATCGGTGGGGGGATGAATCCCCACCTGACCACTCGCCGGGTACCACCCACCGTACTAGCGGGTGGACAGCCACCCGTCGTGTACCTGTTGGTACAGTATCGCCCACCAGCAAGTGGACGGCGCGGGTGGTCGACTACCCGCTGGTAAGGGCGGGGCGGGGTGCTGTTTTACCCTGTTTGTTATTTCCCCGTGCCCCGTTGTGCCCCGTTTGGTGTTTATGATTCTCGTGTGATGTTTCTGGGTACCGTTTTAAGAGTTGTGTGTCGTGGTTATTGTTGTTGTTGAGCTTTGATTGTTGTTGGTGTTGAGGGTTGACTACTAGTACTTGTTGTTGTTTATGAGTGGCATGATAACCTGAGCTTGCTTGTTGAGTTTTAATTAAGTATCTCTTTATCTATCAGTTTGAGCATGAGTATTGCATGATGAGCTATGATTAGAGATATCTGTTTAAAGCATGAGAATTGTATTTAAGTTGAACACTTGACAAAGCATGTTTATATGAAATAATATAAGTTGCAAGCATATAGAGTTGTTATGAGCATGTATTGAGATTGTTGTTTAAGTGTTATAAGTACTTGAGAATATGTGGGATTGTCAAATGTTTTCCAAATCTATATTTATAGTACTTTACCGGGGTTGAGTGGCTTTATACTCAGCATTAATTTGCTAACGGGTTTATTTTCTATTTTTTTTTATAACCCCTTTCAGGTGGGTCCAGTGTTTGAGAGTGCACGAGTTAGATTAGTGCGTAGTTATAAGTTGGTAGATTCTAGATTAGATTCTACATTGGATATTGATGTTTAATTAGATGATGTTGACTGATCTTTTGTTGGTGTTTGAACACCGGGGTTTGTTCCCCAAGTATTGATGTTGTTTTTGATTAGCTTGACTCTAGTTAGTTATCCTTTTGCACCCTGTGCAGTCACCATGAGTGGTGACTGTGGCGGTGAAACCCGTATCTTTTGGATTAGTTAGTTTTTAAGTTAATTAATCTTACTTGTCTTTCTTGTTTCAGTTAAAGTAATTGGGATTTAGATTTTAGAAAAGTATTTAGATAATAATTTTATCACAATTTCTTAAAATTTATAAATTTAGTTCAATTATAATTCTAAGTTTCATGATTTGCATTGGCAAAACATGTATTTAGTTACTTCCCAAAATTTAGCCACATATATTAATTGTTTCACGAAGCTTACTTGGTTATTTGGATCAATAGAGTAAGTTATGTGATATGATATACCTCTTTGGATTCCAAGAATAAAATGTACCTTTTGAGCCAAATTTTCAAATTGGTTTTGGAAAGTGTATTTTATTATTTTAGTATGTCCAACTATGGTGGGGAGTTATGTCCTCATTAGTTATTTCTTTAGTTGGACTATAATTTGAACCAAATATTGATTATATAGTTTGTCCAAATAATGGTGGGGAATTATATCTTCGTTATTTAGTTGGTCAAATCAATTATGAGTACGTATATCATTAATTTCGCTGAAAAATATCTTAATAAGTGAGAGTGATCATTTAGAAAATGATTATTAAGATACTCCACTAAAGATTTTGGATTTTAATTGGCTTCATACATCCCAAATTGGATTGTATGTCAAACAATAAGCCCAAAAGATTCACAAGTATTAATCTTGTATTTGTTCATATAAATTCATAAGTTCAAATTATTGAACATTTGGTTGTACAACATATTTATGAAAATGTTGTGGGGCACTGTTATTTAATAAATTCTTTAACAATTAATATAGTTTTTAGTTTCTTCAAAATTGATCCTAGGCCATTTTGGTTTGTAAGACTCAAGACAATTTTGCGAAACATAAAATTAAGACTCATAATATTCAGTTCATTATGAGGTGGACCTTGAGATTATTTGGAAAGTTATGGTGCGTGTATGTTTAACATTCCAAATTTATGGACTTAGAGTTTCGGTTTATTATCTAAGTTGTTGGAGTGCTTTTATGACTAAACTATCTTTTGGCTATTTTGATGTGTGGGAGTGACAGACGTCTTAACTCCAAGCTCCTAGCCGTTAGAGGTAGTGCTTAAGTTAAGTTATAAATAAGTCATGGAATATAATTAGCATTATGCTAACATTAATAGATCTCTACTTAAGGCATGCTTTTAAGAATTTTAGAGATCATACAGTGTACTCTTTTGTACAATTTCAATGATTTTCTCTCTTTAAGTTGTGCATATATATTTTATTTTGAGAAACATCCCTTAAGGTACCAAGAATAAACATTGGGTTTGTTCATAAAGGATTTAAGTTGGGAAATCAAAATGCATGTGATCATAGAAGATATATATTACTCACTTATTTAGTAGATGACATATTACTATGATTCATGTGTTTTATTCTTTGATGAGAATTGTTCTAGTACTTGCACCAAGTGGGAGACTGTAAGACGTACTTTTCCATACGGGCCTTAATTATGCGGTGCAAGTGGACTAGGCCCATTAAGTAATTGGTTGGACTGGACATTAGGTTAAGTCTGTATTCCACCAATATGCCTATATAAAGACGGTATTGATTGGATACAAGACACATTCATTATATAGCACCTATAGTTATGGTACTCATACTGCTAAGAAAATACTAGTACACCATCTAGGGTTCTGAGTCAAGTGTGAGATCGATAAAACGGCTAACACCCTGCAAGTTTACCGTTCAAGAAGCAACACAACATTAAGAAGCAACACAGCATGATATCAACTATGACTGGAAATCTACATGCTTCCGCTTCCGCTACTACGAGGTTAGGTTTCTCGTAGATTATACTCTGTATGGTTAGATTAAATTTAGATCTAATAACATAAAACACATTGTTCACCCATAGTCATTTTTACTTGCATACAAAATATCACATTAAATTTCCTTTCTTTTTCCTATATCAATCGCTATAACCATATAAATATATTTCTCAAATAAAAATTGATTTTATTACAATAAATGTAACTTCCACCCCACAACAAACTCTGATCCTTTAATATTATATTGGAATAAGGGTCAAATAGGCCATCGAACTACACACCAAACTACAATTAGGCCATCCAACCCAAAAAAGCTACAATCAGGTCCCTAAACCGCACAAATTCAAACAATTAAAC